CACTAGAGCTCGTATTTTAATTCAAAGTCATAATATTACCAGAATTTCAATTTCAGACTGGTAGAGCCTGTGGACATTTTAAGAAAAAGCCAGATGAACAAAAGAAACACAGAAGAAAAAAAAAGATAAACTGAAAAACCCCAAGATTTGGGAATCAATTTCAGCAGTAACATTATTTCACAACTGCAACACACACAAAAATTCAAGATATCATATTTTCTAATTTGACATCTCAATCTGACATTTTAACTTTCTAGTGACATGTAATCTAAATATTGTTACCCCAGCAGTGGCAACAATACAATCTAACTGTTGCTGTTTAGAAATATATTCAACAACTAAAATGAGATTGAGTGCTTACTTAGTATAGCCTCAAACACATCCTATCTCCAACTTGAATACAGCACAGCTGGAAATCCCAGCCTGTTTTAGAACAGTATCAGCAGTCCAGTCTGGCTAAGCCATATGCAATCCACTTTTAAAAAAGCTTGGCCACCCTGTTCCTAATATATTTTTCCTGAGTGGCAAGACTTAAGTATATAATTTTCAATGTAACTACTGTCAAGGTTTAAGTATTTATTCCCAAGTCCCCTAGCTTCCACGCTAAACTAAAATTTTCTTCTCATATGCCAAAGGCAAAAAGTGCATTATGAAGTTCCTAACTCCTCATGAAATATTAACATTTGTCTTTTTAAGCCTTTCTTCCAAGAAAAGGACATTACATTCAAATTCAGTTATGTATAAGATAATTAAATCTTTTCTTATTTCATACATCAAACTAGCCCCCACTTTTTACTATATATAAACATTTTTAAAAGTAATAGATAACACATTTATATCCTGGACCCTTGAAGCCAAAATTCAACTCTTCTCCCCAAAATCAGCTTTTTTTTTTTAGGAATTATAGAAATTGTCTCCTCAAATTCTAAAGTTACACTGATTTTCCGAAGCCTGATGTGAGTTCTGCTCATATTTTACTGGCTTTTTTAAATCCATGTAGTAAAGCTGTGATTTTAAGATATATGGTAACCATATACACTGGAAACTTCAAAACATGAATCCTGAACAAAATAATCCAATCCACTCCTTAGAGGCAGTTAAACAATACATTGCAAAAGACACCATCCAAGACTCAGAGAGAAGACAGGAAGACCTGAAAGTCTTAATGATCAAATTTGTACCAACCTGTGTAATAGATTTGATGGGATTATTAACAGTATCACAACAAATACACAAAAAGACACAGACTGTTCAGGAACTGTAGGCAGTAGAAAAGACAAGAGCAGCTTTTTATTAATGTAAAACAAAACTTACTCAACTTTATTATTATTATTTATTATTTATAACAAGAACTTGTTATAAAGCTGAACTATCATATACTCCTTCTTTAAGATGCTGTATCTTCATTATTAACTGGAGTTTTTAGACAAAAGTTGTGACTTCCTTTCACACAATATTCTGGCACCATGTTGTTGCCAAAGTGAAAGATACTGAAAAAAAGACTACACATATAAGCACAGAAAAACTACCATTAAAAAAAAATGTATTGGAAAAATAACATTTAAAAACCTATTTTTGCTGTTAACTTTAACTATGGATTCACCAAGGGCACCTGCCTGACTAATTTGGTGGCCTTCTACAATGGGGTCATGGCATCGGTGGACAAAGGCAGAGCAGCTGACATCATCTACCTGGACCTGGGCAAAGATACCGACACTGTCCCACAGGACATCCTGGTACTGAAACTGGAATGATACAGACTCAATGGACAGACCACTCCTTGGGCAAGGAACTGGCTGGACTCACAGAGTTGTGATCAACAGCTCGATGCCCAGATGGAGACCTGTGATGAGTGGTGCTCCCCAAGGGTTGGTACTTGGACTGCTGCTGTTTAACATCTTTGTCAGCAACATGGACAGTAGCATTGAGTGCACCCTCAGCAATTTTGATAACAACACCGAAGTGTGTGGTGAGGTCAACACACTATAAGAGAGGGATGTCATCCCTTGACAGGCTTGAGAGGTGGACTCATGCAAACTGAATTAAGTTCAACAAGGCCAAGTGCCAGGTTACCAAGCGCAGATACAGGCTTAGTGGAGAATGGATCAAAAACAGTCCAGAGGAGAAGGACCTGTGGGTGATGGTGAATGAGAAGCTCAAACAAGCTGGCAATGTGCTCTTGCAGCCCAGAAAGCCAAACCATGTCCTGGGCTTCGTCAAAAAAGCATGGCCAGCTAGTTAAGGGAGGGGATTACCCCTTCTGTGGCCCTCTCATGAGACCTCATACGGAGTACTGTGTCCAGTTCTGGAGCCCTCAACATAAGAAGGGCATAGAGCTCCTGGAGTGAGTCCAGAGGAGAGCCATGAAGATGATTTGAGGGCTGGAGCTCCTCTCCTATGAAGACAGGCTGGGGGGGGTGGGGGTTTTCAACCTGGTGAAGAGAAGGCTCCACAGAGAACACATAGCAGCCTTCCAGTACCTGAAGGGGCTACAGGAAAGCTGGGGAGGGGCTTTTTACAAGGGTTTGTAGTGAAAGGACATGGGGTAATAGCTTTAAACTTGAAGAGAGGAGTTTTAGGTTACGTATAATTAATAAATCCTTTAGTGTGAGGGTGGTAAAGCACTGGAACAGGTTGCTCAGGGAAGTTGTGGAAGCCTCCTCCCTGGAAGTGTTCAAGGCCAGGTCGGATGGGGCTTTGAGCAACCTGGTCTAGTGGGAGGTGTCCCTGCACATGCAGAAAGGTTTGAGCTAGATGATCTTTAAGGTCCCTTCCAACCCAAACTATTCTATGATTCTATACAGTATACATTACAAAAATATCTTTAATAGATGGGCTGCAACCTGTAATATGCCACTAGATGGCAAGTTTGGATAGAAATTAGCTAACTGGTTTTATTCATGGCATGTTTGAAAATTGCAAGCGCATAGGAAAGAAACAATCATGCAAAAAAGTGAAGGAGGAAAGCAAACAAGGAAAAGTTCAATAAAAGGTCTTCTGTACAGAGCACATTTAATACTAGTTCAAAAGGCTAAATGGGTTTTAGCTTTGTTCCCACATCAGCCACACAAATAGGTAATAAATTATTATATTTTCCTGCTCACAGACAGGAAAGAACTTGTTTCTTATTTGGTCACAGACAACAGCATTGGCTGTAGCAACCATGACAATCCAAGATCTGGAGGAAGGCTGAAAAGGGAAGCAGATTTAAGTCCTGGGAAAGCAGACTTCAGCTTATGCAAGGAATTGATCATTAGAGGTACACGGCACATCTAGAAGAGGATGAGAAAGCCACTCAGTTTGGCAGAGAGGACACTAAGGAGTGATTTAATAACAACCTATAACTATTTAACAGAGCTAAAAGAATGACAGAGCCAAAAGCTTCTTTGAAGTGCCAGACAATACAATAAAGCATTAAGAGCAATAAATTGCAGCTTGAGAGGTTCAGGGTGGACATAAAGGGAAGAAAAAAAAATAAATTACTAGTATGGTACAGCAGCACTGGAACAGGTTGCACAGACATGTTGTAGCATGCACCCTTGGAGGTTTTCAAGATTCAACCTGACAAAGGGCATGCCTGACCTGACCTAGTGTTGCCAACAGCCCTGCTTCAAGCAGACAGCTGGACAGAAGCACTTCCAATAGTACTTCCACCATGGAAAAGTGGAGATGGATATGGCAGAGTGACACACAAGAAAGAGCAATCATTCAAAAGGAATAAAAAAAAGCTCTCTGCATTTTAGCTGATTTTGATCAACTGTTATATCCAATCTGAGTTGCTGTACAAGGACACTATTTAATGCACAGGTAGTAAGTTTTGGCAGTATCTTCAGACAGAAAACAAATGCAGGTTTGAATTTACAGATACACCTATTAACAGTGGTTTTGTTTGGATATGCTACTGACTTCCTCACCATACAATTAAGTAACATGTCACATATTCCTAATCTATAAATTGTGTCATTCTTATCATACCCACCTTCTGGATTAATGAATAGTGGTTTGAAAAGTGGAATCTAAATCTAAAATATAATCCAAGCAATTTAAAAACCTTAAGCTCTAAAATGTCACTTCGTTCATTGGTTCATCCTGAAGCAAAAAAAAAAAAAAAAAGAGATATTCAATACTGTTGGAAACAGGCATCCAAAGAGGAGCTTCTACAGTTTAGTTCCCCTAAACACAGATGCCTCATTTCTGTGCTAAGGTAGGAGTGGTTCAGAAAAGGATCAGGAATCAGACAGCATGCTGAGAGCAAGTAGTGACAGCACTATATGGGCTGGAAACAAGCTTAAAGAGCTTGAGTATCCTGCATTGCTTTTTCATCACCTACTGCTTTACCCCCTCAGAGCAACATAATGAAATTCTCATGTATTTGAAGTCCTATTAAACAAAAATTTAAATTACTGCTTTGTATGTTCTTCACATTTCCTCATAGCAGCATCCCAAATTGAGAAGTCCTGAATAGTCAGCTGACTATCTGAATTACAAGAGGCTATTCTATTTCTAGGAAATATTACATCTTTAGGAATAAAGTTCTTCATTGTGTGATCAGTCAGTCACACACGCTTCCCTACTCACTTAGGTCTTCTAGTTTCGCTCTACCACACCATTCTCCATAATTTGGGTTTATCTTTTGTTGCCAGCCTATACAGAATTTTCTACCTCATTTTAAAAGAATGACAAATCCTGTATTTTAAACCAGTTCTTTCCGTTGCTTATCACAGTCTTGTGTTTTGATATCACAGAAGCACATAAATAAGCTTAAAAGTTATTCTCAGAAATATAGCAAATATACCTGAATATTCTACCCTGCACAATTTCCGCATGACAAAATTCAAAACTACTATTAACATCTGACAAAACAGTAACAGAGTAGAAATTAAACTTCTTGTTTACCTGTAATACATACGTAAACCTCTCCAAAAAAATACCACATATGAAACATGAATTTGTATTGTAGAGTACATCTCAAACAACTGAAATGTAAGCTGCAGCCTTACCTCATCAAAAGAGAGAAGGTGAATAGGTGTTAACATAGGAATTTTACTTAATTCACAATTCAGGCCAAGTGATATCAGGATTTCCTTGAGGACTTCATATCTCTTGGTATTGCTTATCTTAAGCAAATTAAAATCCTCTTCAGTTTGGACATCCATTGAATTGATATCCAGTTCCAAGTGTGCCTGGAAGAATATGTGCAAAGTAAATAAAAAAATTATTTTGTTGCCATTAAACATTTCAGCACAGCAGAAAGAGATAAGCACAACAGTTTCACAAGCAGCTTTGTCCTGACTGCGATTGCTGAACTATCCAGTGTTACTAGTGCAATTAAAAAATTTCTCACATATTCATTATATCTACACAAGTAGGGTTTTATTATCCTAATAAATTATGTATTTATAGTTTTTGATTTAGGGATCACAGCTGACAGTACACTACAATTTTCTCTGAAACCTACACAAAATATCCCTTCTTAATAATCTGGTCTTCTCCTGGAGGAGTTGTTCAAACTTGCATTTAATAACTTAAATTTCTGCATGTCATGTCTGATAGCAACCTAGAACAAACAGTAATATTGGTCATATTCTGGCTTGTACAAGAGCAGAATTATATTAAAATTGAAAGAGCTTTATCAGAGATCGCACAAGATATGTAGAACTCAGGCTGAGCAAGGCTTACTGTGTCACATGAATTTTGTTGCAATCAGTGCAGATAAAGAAACATTTCTGTCTGAAGGAAAACTAAGAACCTCAGAACACAACCTTGTAGATAATCACTTCTCAAAGTTGAAGCAGATGCTTAAAAGTAGAAGTGAAATCCAGAAGTTAAAAATCCCTTCTAGACCTCCTTTTTGGTTCTCTTCTTGTGGTTTTGAGTTTGATTTTTTTTGTGCATTTTTTGGTGATTTTGTTTTGCTTGTTTTTTAAATAAGTGTTCCAAGATATTTAGATGCCTTTGTACCCTCCACATGTATATTGATTCAACAAAAATCACAAGCTACTATCTTTGTTAATTTTCTGATTTTGCACATTTTGATGATGTTCTTCATCTTTCATATATGATCTACTTAACTGAAAATCAGGGAAATATGCTGAAACGGGGAGGGAGAAACAACATAACAGAAAATAAAAGGAAACAAAAAGTCTGTAACAGAATATTTAATGGCTGATGTCACTGTCAGTCCCCCTGAACAGAAAACAATTAGGCTTTTCAAAGCCAGGCTGGAAGTAATTTAAAATTATAAAATTACACACTACTCCTTTCAATCACAATTTTTTAAGCTACACTGTAATGTCCTTTTCTAGGGAAAACCTCTGCAGTTATAAGTTTCATTACAGCAGAAGGGTCGATTAAAACAGTACAGCAAAGCAGGTTTTACCATGGAACATATAGAAATGGATAGCAACAGTATCTAATCAATTTTCTAGTACAAGCATACAGCACATGGGTGGCAAAGCTTCCTACATAAGCAAGAAACATGTTACTATGTATACCAGAGTTTCCAAAAAGCTAGTAGATTTAATTTGATATGAGATCAAAACATGAATATTTCTGAATGATGTACTAGCTAGAAGAGTATATGCTGATACATGAGCAGTTTGAGCGCTCTGGGCTCCTGAGAAAGCTCTTCTGTAACTTAAATATTGGTAAAAATAGGTCCTCGAATTTTTTGTACTTTGCTCACCTGTGTCTCCATCATATTCCTCATCTACTTAAATACTGGTAAATAAATACTGCCCTGCTTTCTCAAAGTGCTGCTTGAAAACAAGGACAGAGTAAGGGAAGTGACATAATATTGAACAGCCATGCTAGAAAGAAAACATTTACCTCTGCTCCTACTGAGGCTAACTCAAAACATGTAAGTTGCCTTCAGGCTCACTTTAAAAGTTGTATTATGAAATGGCTGAACTCTCACAGACTATACACCCAAGTAGAGGAACACCAACATTTATCTTTAACACAGACAAGGAAGCTTCCTCATCCACTATCTGGGAAGACAGGGAGTAACAACAGATACTTGCAGGCAGAAAAGTATAGCTCTGCTCTTCAGAATGCTTGCTTACTATGCAAATCTGCCCTCTCTTCTACCATCTACTGTGGTCTTGCATGATCTACACATGCCCAGCTACATGGTGAAAAGAAGGGAGTGGAACAGCAGCAACATTCTCTACCATTTTTTAAGCTTCTTGAGGATCAGGTGAAAGGCGTTCTGCCTTCAGAGTTCTTGTATATTCACTGAACCATCCATCTATACCTCCCCTTGACCAGCATCCCCAAGAACACGCAATGAGAACAAGTGAACTTTTTTAGCATACCACCACATCATGTAGCCGTGAGCAAACTAATACTTCAGCACTTGCAGTACCTGAGAAAGAATGGCTTCCCCTCCGCTGTCTCCGTAAGTCAGATGAACAATAACTGCATCTTTATCATCATTATTTAATTGACACAATGTCTTCACTTTGCTGGTATCTTCCTTCACCACTTCCTCAAAAACACAGCCACTGAGCAAAAGATTTAACTGAATTTCAGTGCTGTCCATTTTAGAGACCACTAATTCATGAACAGTTCTCTTCAGTTTGTTTTTTCTCTTTATTTGTATGCCATCACATGTAAAAGATGAAGAAAACCCTAGAATCTTCCCACCTTTAGATAAAAACTTCATAAATTGTTTGTAGTTCTCCTCAGAAATAGGCTCCTCCGTGGCAATGATCAACAGCAGTGAATTATCAATCCATGGAGCCTTCAGAACTTGTTCCTCACGCAGCTGGTAGATGGTGTAGCTGTCTGCATCAATGCATTCCTGAAGGATTGATTTTACCTGCTCGAATTTCATTTTTGTAGTTTCAGAGCCAAGATAAATCAATACATTAGGGGGCTTTCCAGCAAGGTTTATTCTCTTCATTCCTCTTGCAAGACAGTCATCCTTCTCTTCCAGTTTGTTACTGCAAGCATCAGAAAGTTCTGGAATGTTTTCTGCAGAGGTAAATCTAACTGATTCAATAGTACTGTTTTCAAGTTGCAGGCATTCATGACAGCTGGAAAGATGCAAGTGATGATGTTCTCCAGGACTTGTCTCTTTGTCAGACAGACACTTGGATTGATCTTCATGCTCGTTTTCTTTCTCTAGCTTGGATTTCTTCTCTTCACCTAGTCCTGCAGACTCAGCTCCTCCTAATACTGATTTCACAGCGGGCCCCAAAGCTGCAGCACGAGCTACTTCATCCATTTGTGTACTGCTTACACTTTGCTCTTTTACAGATGGTGCCACCTGTGCAAACTTGTTCAGAGCAGATTCCTGTAAATGGACAGCTAGAAGAGTTAAAGAATAAGAAAAAGGCATTACAAAGATGATACTGAAAGAGCTATGATGAATATTACTACTACAACAGGATTTGCATTTAATTTCAGTACAAATCATCTATAATAGCAAGAAATGTATTTGCTCAATGCACCAAATCTAACGTCCCCCAAGAACATAACGAATTTGCACTCATAATACAATAATTTAACTCTTATTACTCTCTTGACTGGGAGCACAACACTTGATATTTACAGGGCACATTTAAACAAACTAACATTTACTGTGAGTGCAAAAATATTTGCACAAAATTAAAACATGATTGCTACTGTACACTAGGGAGATGTATTCTTAACAGAACAATAGTTCATGGGTGGGAAGGAGGGAAGACATTGCTTTGTCAGCTTGTGATTTTGTCTGTCCCTTGGTCCCCAGTACAGAAGAAAATTAAGCAAGGGAAAGACCTTTGAACAAACACTGGTCTCTTGAAGAGGTCAGGGTGGAAAATTGCTTGCTGCTATTTTAAAATTTGCTATTTTGAAATAAGCTAATAAAGTGATGATATTGGGTAAGATGGAGGCATTGAACTATGTCTCTTCCTTTGCTGAAAGCTGCAGATAAAAGTTTGGCACAGATGAAAGGAAATAAAAATCTGAACTGCTTTCAGTCTGCAGGAAGGGAGACATACCCACCCACAGAAAGCTTTGGGAACTAAGAACCCAAGGGAAAAACTAGCAAAGATGAAGAATGAAGAACCCTTTCTCCCCTGAGGAGGATAGAAATGCAAAGATAAAAAATTTCAAGCAAATAAAAGTGAGAAAAGAAGGGCAAAGATGACTACTGTCAGTGTGAAACCTCCAGAGCAACCTAAATAAGAAAGAGCAGAGAAAAAATACTCTTAAAAATATAGAATTCTTTTTCTGCTGCTGAGCCATGAAAAGATTTCAAATCAAAATCTGCAAAATGTTACTAAATCTCTCTCCACTCCCAGAAGGCCAAAAAACCCTTGCACTATGTTTTTGTTTCTGATTTCTCAAAGAAATTCAGTTATAAACTTGATTAGCAAAATAGTTGACTGGCACACAAGACACCAGATCCAAGTTCAATCACTTTCTTCAACACCACTTGCATTCCTTTGGAACTACGTCCCTTTTGCCTAGTTTGGAGCAGACATTTGAAGCAAGATCTTTTTCACATCCCAAGAGAATTCCACAGCCTATGAACATGCACAGCCATCAGCAGGCTCCATCAGCCTGTTCTCCAGGAGCAGATGAAGCACACACATAGTACCTGAAACAAAATGAGCTAAAAACATTCTGAAAAGTAAGTGACTGGGGCACTGTTTCAGCTTCTATGCCTTTCTCATATTAACACTTCTGCAGAACAGCACCAAGAGACAGAGTTTCACTTCAGATACATTTATCATATCTCTCTTGTACTCTAGCAAGCTGATCCTGATTTTATCATTCCTGACTCCTGACAGTGCACTATGATCTCCACAAAAAAAAAACAACAAAAAAAACACAAACAACCAGGCAAACAAAAATCCTAACAACTAAACACAAAAAACCCTAAGCCCAAACAGAAAACCCAATGACGTGTTTGTTTGGGTTTTTTTGGAGTTAGAGAGTGGGGAAGAGCATATTTTTGAAGCCCAAATCAGCACAGCTGAGAAGACGCAACTAGGTAGGAAGAAATGACACTGTTGCTCAATCAATCCCAGCCTCCACCTGCCCCAAATAAATAAATAAATAAATGAAAAGAAAAGTGTGTCTTTAGGCCCTGAGAGCCCACCTTTCTCCAGTACCCTACAGACTGCATATTATAGCACTTTTAGAATGGTGCTGGAAAAAAGAAGTTAAAATCTCATGCAGCAAAGGGAGGTGAAGCTTGGATTTCCCACAGCCCAGACCACAATTCTATTTAAGAACAGTGTTACAAGTGCAACCATTACTTTCTTCTACTTGCTGTGGAATTAGCAACCAATTACCTCCCTGCCATAGCTGGAACTATTCAACTAATGAGGACACAATAGTCCACAGTTTTGATATCATTATAATCACCCCCTAAAGAAAAAAACCACCCACCAAAAATTCAAACTTCAATTAGCAATGACATCATCCTTGCTCCCCTGGTTGTTCCTCTCCCTGTTTAGAAAATACCTGTGAGCTTTTCTCTCAGTTATCCAAAGGATTAAGATGCTCAAGTTACAGCAATTTGTTCTCAATCTATATTTAGCTTTGAATACACTTCTATTTCAAACCTGAAAAAAAGAGAACATTTTCCTAAAACCTACTATATTTTTGAAATAGATTGGTTAATCTAACAAATTAATCTAACTAATCAAATATATCAGTTAATCTAAGACAATACTTAGAGAAACAACATTTTCTAACTTCACATTTGTGACATTTATACATTTGTGCATTTGCAAAAGATAAACACCATCTTGGACACAGAGATCTCATCATATTAAGGTTAATTATGAGATAATAAAGAAAAAGAGGGGAGTTTACTCCAAAAATATTTTTATCAATTTTTCTGCTATTTCTGTTGTTGCACTTGTAAGACCTTCTGTAAAGAGAGAGACTCACTCAAAAAGTGGTCTAATTTTTCAAGGATCTCAGCATTTGACAGTATTCAGTTTAAAATATGGTACTAATACAGAGCAGTCAACTGTCTAGAATGACAACAGAAAGAAAACAATGTGGCAAAATAAAAACATGTCATGTTTATGTAAGTATAAAGACTACAAGCAGAGTCCTAAACTAACCATGAAACAAACATGTTCTATTATTTTAAAAAATTGTGAAGATACTTACAAACAATCTTGTGTGGCACCATTCCATTATCCATTTGAAGCCTGTCTTCCATGAATGCTATTCCAAGGTTACTGAAATTATCTACGCTTGCTTCAGCAATTAATCTGTAAGGCTCACCAGGTTTATAGGCCAATGGTGAACAATAGTCTGACCACTTCACAATCTGAAATGAAGCATATGCATGTTTTTCAGTTTGAAAAGGTTACAGAAAAATATCAAAATACTATCTTATGAGTCTGCAAGATCACTGCAAACAAAATTTTTCCTTCCTTCCCAAAGGATTCTGCTATTAAAAAGCAGAACAACGGTAAGCATAGTCAACATATGGACATTACCAAACCAAAATGGCACAACTGGAAAACTCAAGGACTGGAAGTAATTTTAAAGAGAGTACTTAACAAAAAAAAAGTGTAGCTACTAAGACTGTAAAATAATAAACTGGCAGACTCACTTTTAAGACTTATTTCTGTGATGCCTTATGTGTTAAAATCAACTATTACATTTCATAGTACTATGAGACAACACATTGCAACTAGAGAAGGCTTTCAGTTGACAGTTTCTTTCACACAGAAGTGCATTCTTCATAACTACAAAGGTCCACGTATAGGACTGAACACAACCAAAAGAATCTACTGAGGAAGGGTCATGTAGCAAGCAATGCCTGATACGAGATTCAGTCCTGAGAGAAGTGAAAAAACCAGCATCCACACTAAGTGCTGAAAGCAGACTCTCCCAAAGATCAAGGCTCTAAAAGCTTCAAGTAACACACAAAATGGCAGGAGAGCATTATTATATTCTGCAAGTAAAATTCTATTTGTATTTATTTCCAAGACATAGCTTTCATCACAAATTCTAAAAAGAATGCTGATAAAAAGAGCAAAAGTAAACTACTAGTGTTTAATAAAAGTACACACTGATTATAAGACACATTAACTGAACGTGGAAGATTCAAGCTGCTTATCTACATTAAAAATTCCATTCTCCAGATAAGAAGAATTATGAAAGCAACACATTTGGGTTTGTTTCCTCCAAGGTTTCTTAGACCCAAACTACACCACTGTATCACCTTGGAAAAAAAAGCTTCAAACGTATCTATAAAAGTCAAAAGTGGAAGAAAAGTGAAAAGAGTTTTGGTTTACTTCTGAAAGGCAGGCACATTAATAAAGACTACACATCTGTCAGCTGACTCATAAGAGGGTCATTTTCAGTTATGTTTATAAACCAACAGTACCTAACAAAATAGTATTCAGACAATTGCCAAACCAGTGATTTAAGAGTCAATTCTGCAAGGAAAAACCAAAAAAGGTAACCAATTTCAGTAAAAATTGTGTGAATTATACCCTAGCCTTTAGCCTTTATAGGATACACAAACCAACTGTTCTCTTGTGAAGGTGTTTTTAGAGACAATGAAGCACCACTTGTTTTCATGAGCTAAAAAAAAAATAGCCTTTGCCATGTGTTATGTTCCAAATACTGGGAGCCAGTGCAATTCCCACAGAGAAACTGCAGCACTTTGACACTGTCATCACAAAACCACTTTCATGAAGTTTACTTTTATCACTACATACAAGATGTAACATCCTGATTAAAGGCAGTAAGAAAAAACACTTCATTTGAATGCACAACATGAGCATGAGCTCTTGGATATTTTACTTGTTCATAATTAGACTATCAGCTAAATTTACTTTTTATCTGCTGCTGTTGAGTGGTTTACATAATATCCAAAAGAATCTATTTCCAACTTTGACTTTACAGTATTCCGCAAGGGAATACTATACTAGACCCATACAGATTTGAATAACTGTAGTTGGAAGCAGCAATCAGTTTTCTCTCCATTGCTACCAGGGAAATCAGTGACAACATCAGCCAGAATTGCCCCAGCCAGCTTCCTTGAGTGATGACCTGGACAACACCATCATTTTCCAGATGGAAGGTATTCCAAACTGTGTTTAATCTATAGGTCCAACAATGACAACTGGAACAGAAGTCTCCAATTGTAGTCATCAGGCGTAAACTCTAAGGGCCTGTTGCTAACTGTTGGAAATTCACAATCATCAGTGACAAACATGGCAGAAGCATTTATCATACAAGACACCAGATTCCTTCTCTATTTTCCTCAGCATAAGACTCTGGGCTACTCTATTTAGATATCTGCTCTTACTCAGAAAACAGGCACAAGTAGGTAACATCCACATATTAGCGGGAAACTGCAAGGAGGATATATTGATGCTCTTGAGCTTTTCTCATGACACTAAGTATAATATTTGACACATTAACAAGTAGCTATATCAGTCTGGTGCAAATCAAGTGAATACACAAAAGAACTTCACAAAGTAAGGCTGTTGCAAAGACAAATGACCTGTTATTCTGCTCACAAAGCAATCCATTTGCTTCACCACAGAACAAAAATCCTTAAAGAATATTTTCAAACAGGCCAAGCTTTCCTGCTGTGACTAGAAATCTTAATCAAAATTCTGTAAGAATACAGACTGAAAGACCAGCTCTTCGTAAGAAATGAAAAATTATTTTTACTCCTACTTTCTGGATCTACTTCAGTTTCAACACAAACCAGTCACAGATCACTGATAGCCCTGAAAAAAATGGCTTCTTTGTCTAGAAATTCTCATAGGTCACAGGAGCAATCTGTTATTACAGCCTCTGTCTATGTCAACAGCTGGCTGCCAGAGGTAGCAGAACTAAAAGCACTTTTCTAGAAGTGACATGTACACAGAAGACCAATAATCAAAACAGCGGTCCTATTCTTCTTTAGTTTCAGTCTTTTGTCCAGACTATCATTTTTAAGCTTGATGAATCAAATCAATGTCTACATGAGAATGCCAACATTTTCCATTCTAAAAGAGAATGCAAAAAAGCCCAACAAGATTAAAAAACTTAGCCAAATAATAAATCCAAGAAAGAGCTTCAATCCAAGTGTTTTTGTGGAACTCTCTGCTAAAAAAAACCAAAAAACAACAAAACCGAACCAAACAAAAAAAAAAACCAACAATAAACAACACAAACAAACAAAAAAAGTAAAGTTAAACAAAAAAATTTCCCTTCGCCTTCAGTCTGAGTTGGCCCAGCACTCCCCACTTTCACTCTGAGACAATGTAGAAAGCACAGCAGGTATTCTATCCAGTTTATGTCCCAGAAGTCTTACAAAAGCAATAAAAACACTTACAAACCAGCTATTGTGGTTCCTTCCACTGTCCTCCAAGGACACACGAGGCCAGACCCTGCTTCCACTGAAGACTTCCACAGAAAAGGTTTCAATAAACTTTTAGTGCCTCCAGTCCTGACACTCTGAGCTTCCAAGAGAATGATCTTGTCTGATGCAACACTTAACCAGGACATCATTCCTCTAGAGGGCAAAGACTAACATGCTCCAAAAGCACGATCTGCTCTAGAATTGAGAAATTTTCATGGAGGGTGAAAGTACTAAAAATTGATTGCAGGCACAAATCTGGAATTGTGCCCATTCCCAAACTGTCCTTCTGTTTCTGCATTAAAGCTTGATAAGACTATTTGCCAATCACTCTTCTCTCAATGTTCGCCCCAGGAGAGGACTCCTAGATCATCTCCAAGGACAAGGGGCCTGGAAAATATATGTTCCTCATGCAAGGAAATGGACAGGCTGCAGAAAATTTTAAAACTGACAAAATTTAGGGGAGAAAGACACATCAATTCACATTCGTAGTAAGCTTTTATAGGGTCTGGATAATATTTTTATGCATCATCTGTTTAGTGGTGCTATATACACAGTAATCCAAGTTTTAGAACATCATCTTTTTAATCCACATCTTTGTACTTTTAATATAGTAGCAGAGAAGGCACTTTTTAGATTCCTAAGTACCTAGGACATTAACATTTTCTAAGGATTTCAGTACTACTTTAATTTATACCTTCGGATGGCTTAAAAACATTTTGTAAGGATTAAGCAGTAAAAGACAATTTATAAAACTTCAAGAAGTACTGCCATTCCCCCTCTGCATATTACATAAAAGCAATGAGATTAAAGCTTGATTTTGGTCTTACTTCTGCAGACTGACAAAATTATCCAATTAGAACTCGCACTTATGAAAGGAAGGTTGCAAGAGGGACTTCTATTTCAATTACAACTTTTCACAACCACTTGGTTGGATGCTTGAAGAGTTTTTCAGAAATCTTAATGTATGCTTGATTTGTATATCCCTGCTGAGGAAATAATTTCAGCTAGTGTCAGAAACATGCTACTGAGCTAAACAAACTCCTGATCTGCCTGAGTATGACAGCTCTCAAGCAGAGGGCCAGCCATATCCTGGGCTGCATCAAAAGAAGTGTGGCCAGCAGGGACAGGGAGGTGATTCTGTCCCTCAACTCTGCTCTGGTGAGGCCATACCTGGAATACTGCATACAGCTCTGGAGCCCTCAGCACAGAAAAGACATGGAGCTGTTTGAGAAGGTCCAGAGAAGGGCCACCAAGATGATCAAAGGGCTGGTGCACCTCTGGTACAAAGACAGGCTGAGACAGTTGGGGCTATTCAGCCTGGAGAAGAGAAGGCTCCAGGGAGACCTTATAGCAGCCTTCCAGGATCTGAAGGGGGCCTACAGGAAAGCTGGGGAGGGGCTTTTCCCCAGAGAGGAAAAGATTTAGGTTAGACATCAGGAAGAAGTTCTTCACCATGAGGATAGTAAGGCACTGGAATAGGTTGCCCAGGGAGGTTGTGGATGCCCCCTCCCTGGAGGTGTTCAACACCAGGTTGGATGAGGCTTTGTGCAACCCGGTCTAGTGTGAGGTGTTCCTGCTTATAGCAGGGGGGTTGGATCTAGGTGATCCTTAAGGTCCCTTCCAATCTTAATCATTCTATGATTCTGTGATATTTCTCCTATTCAATGTATCTAACCATACACACCTTATCCAAAGTCACAATGGAATTCTGCAGAGTGTGGAATTCTGCAGAAGTGTGTTGCTAAAAAAAATCTATGTCTGTGGGTCTACTGGAAGCATAAAACACAACAAGAGTGATTCATTTTAATCAAGATATTATATTTTTCTCCCAAATAATGTCATAAACATAAAAGTTAATCTGCCATTGATTTTCTTTCCTTTGAGTGTTTTAGGTTTATACCCACCAAATGACCCATCTGTATGTACTACTTTCTATGCAAGAACCAAAGAGAACTACTTACCTCTTTTGAAGAGCTGGGCAGTTTCTGCAAGTTATCTGTCTGAGCTGAAATGCTTTCTGTCACAAAAGCTATATGTTCTGCTTTAAGTAACTTATCAGGACAAATAAAAGGAGAAATGAGAAGCAGACTCCATCTGTTTAAGTCATCGAGGAACTGAAAGAGACGGGAAATAAATAAGTCTGTATAGTAAGAATCTGATTTAATAATTAAGTTTTAAATTATGCCCAGTCTAAATTCAAATCTCTACTAGTTAATGCTCCCCATGTGAAAAAAAAAAAGAAAAGAAAAGAAGAAAAAGAAGGTAAGTGTGAACCATTAAGCATAACACATTGAAAGTAAAACTGAAAGTGACAACCCACACTTTTAAGCCAATTCAGCCTTCAGCTTTCAGCTTTACAGGAAGAATGCACAGGAGAGCAGGCCACAAGACAACTATGCTGTTGGCACTGTATCTGCTGAGGGTCATTTGCCACTGGCAGCATCCCTCATTCAACCTGAATCTCCTCTCCCATTCACACCACAGTTCACCCCGCACCTTCCTTCCCTCTTCTGCCCTGACTACACAAACCCATGGCTCTGCTGCCTCAGCTCTGATGGCTGAAGGGCACTGTTTGCTGCTTGGCAGGGACTGAGAAAGCAGTGACAGCACAAAACCTGCCTGGTCACTCACTACAGCCCCTCTAACCGGATGGTAGTCAGAGCAGCAAAAATCTAAAAATCACTCATTCTGGTTGAGTAACAATCTTCCAGGAAACACACCCCCACTGCTAAGCCACATATACTATCTCTACATCCATCTGACAAAAGACCAGCCAACCCATGAGACAAAAGTGAGCCAAGAACTATGTATTACACAAGACTAATTTTTAGACCTAATTGACACATTTTCAGGACTTCCTTTGTAAAGACAGTTATATTTTGTGGACATGTACCATATTAAGACAAATTATTTTAAAAGAGATATGAAAAATCTTTTAAAAATATTTTAAATAAAAGGAGAGAGTACCTTTTTTTTTTTTTTTTACTACATTAAGTCCTCTTCTATTTGCACCAAAATCTCTCATTCAGTAGGTAAACTCAAAGTTCAGAGTTAAGGAAATAACTCATTTAAAATAAACTTGTACATAAAGTAGTCTATCCAGTTAGCAGACCATTGTACAATCATTTCCTTCATTAAATTATAAAAATTATTCCCTCTCTTGTCCTCACAAATGAGCAAATAAAGCTCAAGAGCTGGAATCAGTAGACCAAAGCACAGTTTCAAGAATCTCAAAGCTTCTCAACACATAATCTGATCGCACACCATATTCCATCAACTTCATCAATGTATATACTTCAATGAACTTAATTTTTCTGCCATGTTTTAAAAATGACAAGCATTAGAAGCAGATATTTTGCTACACCTATACTAGAAACCCCTGCTTTGGACACCTTTGGCATTTTCATGTGAAAGCATGAGATTTCCCCTACAGCACACTAAGCAGGTGTATCACCCCACACCTAAAATCAAACTGCACAATGTTAAAACTATGGGACAGACTGCATATCAAACCAGCTTTACTGAGCACAGAAGATAGAAGAGTAAACACCTTATACACAGGAAACCGAACTGAACTCATGAAGCTTTGTATTACCTTAAGCAACCAATTCAATTAAAGACCAAACCAAAAGAAAAACTTTACAGGTTATGATTTATGACTTGCTGGTATCTTATCTTAATGCAGTTATTGATCACAGTACAGAGATAGCTACAGCTCCTTGGGAAGCCAAACAGCTCAGCTAGCTTCCTAGAAGCCAAAAGAGCCCACTAGTTAACTTTTTTCCCTTCGCAGTCTTCACAGACGATGTACAGAGAGCTCCATAGTGATGCTGCTTCTATCTTGGAACACAGCCAGATCAGAGCCCATATACACCACAGTGCCAAGGGGCAGTGTGACAGGCATCTTTCACAGAGATTCTCAGAGTCAAATGAAACTGATAACTTTCAATACACATTTTTAAGAGACAAATATATTTTAAGTAATAGCATTGACCTTAAGCCAAATTTCAGGCCAAAGTAGAGTTCCCTGGAGTGCTTCCCATGCTCACTAAATACAAATAAACTGACAAGCTTATAAAGTCAGTCTTCATAATCAACATTGCAGAGAGATAAAAAAAATGTGCTTACTCTGCAAGGACAGAGGAGCAGCTATTTCAGAAATGACCAGAAGTGGAGCAAAGAATAGCATAAATTAGTTGAAATACTATTTACAAAACAATAATCCAGGCCAACTGAAGCCAAACTCCTTTAAGCACACTGACAATTATTTGGTTTTGTTTTTAAAAGCTTTAGAATAAAGTATTCAACTGTCCCGTGAGAGATTCTGCATTGTCATGATTGCTTTTAAGTGTGGAATAATCTGTTCATGAGACAGCCAAGAGACTTTTTTTTTAACAAACTCCATGAGCATTTGCAATCTTATTTTTACTGCACTGAAAACATCCTCTTTACACACTGAATTTATGAAGAGTATCTGCTTCTTAAAGAGTAGCAGGTAGCCAACTAGATGTTTCATAAATACATTTCAGAAACATCCATTTAAGTAAAATATGTAAGCACTGAGATAATTTCCACGAACACACATATAAACATCAGCAAAAAGGACAGCAAGAAGATTCTTATCCATCCAGATTCTCATACTTAGTAACAAATTTAGACAAATCCAACATGCATTTAAATAATTCAGATTTATTGTTTGGGGAAAGGGGGGCTGTGGGGGTACCAGAGGAGTTTCACTTCTAAACCTGAAAGTCAGAAGCAAGCTTACTTTCACTTTTACTTCACCAGATGGCACAGTGAATCTGTTCAGGCACTGTATTTTTCCACTATCATGGGCTACCCCAGCCTCACCCCACCCTCCTCTCTCAACCTCCCTTTGCAAAACAGCGATTTTCACAAATCTCGTTTTTCGCATCATTTCCCTCACTTGAAACAACGTTTTGCACAGGGTTTGCATTCAGTTTCCCGTCACCAAAAGCTCAATTCAGACTTCATGACGGGTTCAGCCAGGTTCTGACACAGCTCTCGAACGCGGAAACGTGGCACAACATTTCCAGACTGAAGCTTTGCACGTGCTAAAAGCAGGTTACTAATATGGAAACGCTGACAAGTTATGCTAAGTGGTCCTGTTACCGCAGCTGTACTGCCAAAGCCACACTTGGAATGCACACAGAAAACACACTCCCCAGCCAGCTCCCTAAGCTATAATGCTGCAGCAGTGGGGAGAGGTAACCACAAGTGCATTAAGATTTTCTACCAAGGCCACCACTCGGGTCTCACCCAAGCCTTGCCCTCGGCAAGCAGAGCCGTGACAGGCCTGAGAAGGCTACAAGAGGTATTCTGACAGACACAAGCCCCAGTCTGCTAGTGACATAGAATCACAGAATCCCAGGGGTTGGAAGGAACCTCGAAGGATCATCTGGTCCAACCCCTCTGCCAGAGCAGGGTCACCCAGAGCACATCACACAGGAACGTGTCCAGG